TTCTTGATGATAGTCCTGATGTTCGACATCCACTTCAGGTCCTGGGAGATAGTGGAGCCCAGGAACTTGTAGGACTCTACTGCTGATACAGTGCTGGCAAGTATGGTAAGGAAGGGGTGAGATGGGGGGGCTCTTCCTGAAGTCCACTGTCATCTCCACTGTTTTGAGCGTGTTCAGCTCCAGGTTGTTGTGGCCAAACCATAGGACCAGCTGCTCAACCTCCCATCTAGGGGACTCATCGCCGTCTCGGATGAGACCGATGACCGTTGTGTCATCTGCAAATTTTAGGAGCTTGACAGAGGGGTCCTTCAAGATGCAGTCGTTGGTGTAGAGTAATATTCCTGCATAGCCATGAAGAATGGGCTAAAATCATACCTGAAAGGATAGAAGCGCTGTTCAGGTAGACTAAGAGGTTGGAGAACGTTAGGAGGGCATGCAAAGTATTAGAAAACATTTCATAAAGGAAGAAGCAAATTTTTGCACTGACATTATTTTACTGTAACTCTCTTTTTATACACTCCGTGATCATTTTTGTTACTTCTGTTGATGAAGGAACATATATACTAGCTGAATGTACATTAAATGTTATGTTGATGAGGAAAATAAATCTATGTTTTACTCTTTTTGCCTTTTCAATGTAAGTGGATGCAAACTTTCGCACTCAACTGTAGCAGTACTAATAGTCAAGAATTCCACAGTGTACCTTTAATTAAGGCCAGTTTCATCTGCTAAACATGACATCATCATTATTTGACCCCACACAAAAACCAAAAACTAACCAGTGTGAACTACAGTACATGACCCTAGATTTTTGTTTGTTTGTTTTTGTCAGTTTATAGTTTGTTTTGGTCAAACAATTTAAATATTTGCCCCATGTATAATAAACTATATAAATACATAAAATAAAGTAGTTGTTTACCTTGTGCAGTTCATAATCCAGCCTCAGATTTCACTTGTGTATACGCAGATACACAAGTGTATATGCACATCATTCCCTTTTTTTAATCCCCTCCTACCTTCTCTTTCTTTCTTTGCAACCATCAGCAGATCAGGAAGCTATTCATTACCACCACTGCATCCAGAAATCCAATCTGTACTGATGCTCGGATGATATTTCAAACTCTCACAGAGAACAATGCAGTTAGAAAATGAAGGCTTGAAATATGGAAATGCAATCTCCACATCCCTGTCATCAGTTTCTCACCCATTTCAACACACACTGCAGTGACAAGAAAAGAGCATCACTGTGAATGTATAATGAGTTTCTCTTGAACTCCTTCTGGCATCTGAAGAAAGTATAGTATATCACTGAATGTAAAGTATAACATTGATAAGGACTTTAATGGTGAGATTAGGTTGAAATGTACTGTATGCATAAGGATTTTCTGTTTCTCTCCTCCCCTTTGGATTGTCCCCCAGACAAGTTTTCAGACAGATACAGACACATTTTGTGAGTAGAGAGCACAACATCCCACACACACACACACCCTTACATGTAAATCGATATGTAGTATCTGTTGCTAAGTAATATATCACAGCACAGCTGCACACGGAAACAGCTGAGCTGAAGATTTGAGGCCCTTCTGGGACAAATCAGAAGAGATCACACTAAACTGATCATATTAATTGAAGCTGCTAACTACTTTATAGCTGTGGTTTTCTGATCTAGCTCTTATCAGATAATGACCCACTAGTTCATGCCCTCAGGGGATTAGGGGAGAAGTGTGCATGCAAATAGATGAGTAATGTATCTGTTCTCCCATGGGAACAACTTGACATGGTCAGAGGTCAGTGACCTCCATCACAGTTTCCTCTCTGATTGTATCGAGATATCACCTGTCTCATCTCCTTCTTCTCTGTCTCCCTCTTTCATTGAAACTACACAAGAAACTTGACTGCACTGCTTAAAGAGGAGATAAAATAGTAGGAAGTAATCCTTTGTAAAAAAAAAAAAAAAAGAGAGAGAGAGATAAGATGACGAAGGATGACAACATTCTCTCCCTTGTGTTTTTGTCCTGCTCTCGGATGGAGGGCCACACGCTCACTGCAATGTCTGTGTGAATTATAGTTTGCTGTCTCTGAGTGGATAAAAACAGGAGAGCTTTTCATGAACAAAGAGCTGCTATTTACTCGATCCTCTTACAGCTTAGCAAGATTTAATGTGTCAGCATAAGCATGAATAAAGAGGAGTGGAGCATACACAAAGACAGTACTGCACTTAAGGAAAGGTTATATAGAAAGGGTGCAACAGGTAAACCGGGAAACCATGTAGAAAGTCAGCTGATTCTTTCCAAGAAATAAACTGATAAAGTGGGCTTCATTTTAGCATTAATAGAGCAAAGGTTTTAAGACTGTATACAGCAATCTCCAAAAACATGGAGCAAAACCAATGCAATCATGTTGCTCATACAGTAAAGTTACTGTATATGTTGAACCTTGCAGAAAATCACCTGGATATAATCTTTTCACTCTTGTATTCAATGCAACCTGTATAACTATGCAAAGCCTGTAGTTCCTAAATTTAGCAATATGGTGCATCAAATATGCCCTAAACTCTTATGTCATGACTGAAGCTGGAATCCTTTTCAAAACAGTTCTCGAATTCACTTTCAATTTAAAAAAGCTAGAAATTTGAACTGGTCGAATTAACAGTACTCTTACAGAGTATTTAATAATTAGTGAGTGTTTCAGCATTAAATAACATTGATAATATTGTTAAAATGTGGGAAAAACATTAGCTTCCATCTTTACTCCCTGATTTTTCAAGGAAATAAGGACAGAGAGTGTCAACATACAGCCTGTTTCGCCACATGACCATCCAGTAATGTTGTTTACTGCGAAAGTAACAGACCATGAAACATTGTACACACATTTTCTAAAATATTTCTGATTTTGTGTTTGACAGAGTTCTTTGTGACACCTTAGTATTATGTTTCTGGATAACACATATACTGTAGGTGTGGAAGACATCACAGAATTGCTCTTGTTGTTGTCATCAGCTAACAAGGTGTAAAAGAGTGATTCCCTCCCATGTTATTGTAGCAAGGTGTGCATGTGATGAATTGCTCGCTTGGAGACATGGTTGGAGATTGACTTCAACAAGAAATACATACAAACCTCTTTAGTTAAACCATCTTTATGTATAACACTTGGGAGTGAGCCCTGAGTTTTTTTGGTATTTCATGTCAGCAACGCTCACTTTCCTTCAGCCTCGGCCAGTGTAGCACTGAAAGGCTACACTTGTTGTGATTTGTATGGAGCTGTAAAGATGCAGACCACAGTACAATATAGATTCTGTGAGAAACTGGGGCTCTGCCCTGAAGGGGAATTCAGACCCAGAGGAAAAATAATCAAGAGGCAAAAGAAAACATTCTAGCTGTTCAGATACAAAACCCTCAGGGTGCTTTCCAACTCTGACTCTTTTTGTTCTTCCCTATGCTCCCTCTTTCCC